ATTGTTTTAATTCTAGTATATTATCCCAGTAATCCTTTTTATTCTGGTTCTCCTTTATTTTCATGCGAGAAAGGAGCGTACTATGTCCTAGTCCACAAAAAGATTCTGGACCCATCAACGGTGTGGCTGCTCCTTTCCTGGCTAGTTTGTTCGCGTATTCGTTTCCGCATACGCCAGTATGTGTCGGAATTTTATTTGATAATAAATTAAATTTGTTTTTTGTTTTGAAAAATTATTTAAATCATATTCTGTCATTTTTTGACTAGGAGCATTTTTCTTTTATTGTAGAATTCAGGGGTTTTGATCTGATCAATTTAGTAGTTAAGAAATTTCCTAATATTATTGGATTGATCAGTTTATATTTGAAATTAAATGTCCGTGATACAAATGACCGACTATGGCGCTTCTGTTTAACTATTGTCAATAATATTTACGAGTATGCAAAAAACCAAAATGTTTTCTTGTAAGGTTAATTTATACAAATTTACTAAACTAGGACGGAAAAATATAAAATGTTTTGCAGTTTAAAATGTCATTTTCTTGCTAGATTAATTTAAGTTCATGTATATTTATGCATGTACGTATATATACATATTTATTCGTACTTTTATTGTACGTCTCAACCAATTGAAGTTATTTTCTTTATAAAAGTCACTCACTGCCTGTAGAATTGTATGTGAGTGTCATTCACCATTTGTGATGATATTTACAACATGGAATATGAAACCCTTCTTTTACGTTGAAGGAAAAAAACATGGATGACCTTTAGAAGGGAGGTCACTCATATATTGTAAATATACCCAAATATATATCTATGTATATATATATTTATACATTTTTAGTTACATAAATAATTTTCAAAATAAAAATATTTATTATAAACAAATCCATTATATATTAAAATTTTTTATTTTATTTTTATTTATTAATAATAGGCTATTTACTTAAAAATCATTCATATAAAATGAAAAACAAAAATTTACAAAAAGAAAAGAGTTGATTAAAAAAAAGTATATTATATTACATTGTTCCATATTAAATTATAAGATACACATAACATTTATTTTTGGCCGCAAGCATTTATTCCATTCGAAATCTATTCATTATTTAGCTATAATATTTATATGTAATTCCGTACGCTTATATGCATAACTTGAACAATAACTATTTTTGTGTGACACGGTAGGAAGTTCCTACTAGGAACTATAATAACAAGAAGAATGGAAATATTTTGCTAAAACTCTGGTTGGCTGAATATCATTTGGTAAAAAGCTAAGATTCATATTAAAATGAAGAGAATGATGGAAACAGTAGTAAAAGTAATAATGGTATTACAAATTATATCTCAAAGTATATTCGTCAGAGTCTTATCTAACTCATTTACTTACTTTTCTTTTTTGTTTACAAAATTTTAACAATCATGAACACAAATAACGCTAATTTCAAATAGAACTGGGAATCTATGGCCTACTAAATAAAGTATACATAATTTTATAATTCCTGTTTACTATTTCATATTATACTATAATTACAAATAAGGGCAGTTCCAATTATTTCCAGAAATTCTAAATCCTAAGTCATATTTTTTTTAGCAAAATCTACTTCTATAAAACATATGCTGACTTAACATTGCTTTTTGATAGAACAATATAATGTTGAAGGGGCTGAGTCAGGAACATCGCATATATCTATGCTGTATTTTTCTCATTATTTTTATTCTTACTTATATGAAACTTTCATAATACATCATAATATAAAAATAATACATAATACTAATAATACATAATTATAAATATAAAAATATATATCAGAAACAATCATTATTGACAGCAAAAATCGATAATAAAGGTTTATATCAAAACCTTTATTGTTATTAGATTATTTAAAATATGAATGTACTCATATTCTAATATTAGTTTTATATATAAATTTATAATTATTTTCATTATAAATATGAGATATGTGCGGAAGTTGTGGTTTTGTATAGAAAATATTTCTTTGATTTTATAAACCTGGGGTTCAAACAAAACAACGATATATTTACCGGAGTGAAAACTGGAACCAAGTCGACATATATTTTTTAATTGAACCAAAATAAAAAATTTTTCTATTATTAACATTCAATTCGTATGAAAAATTGACATCAAATATTGGAAATTGATGTTAGTACCGATTAGACCGATTTGTAGTGCTTGTGACGATGTCACAACATTATAGTTTCGAAAGATTGTCATAAAGAAATTATAGGATTTGCGACGTTTTGCTTTATTAAAACTGGAAAATTAAACCATTTGTTGTTCAACTAGTTTATGCAACAAAAATGTACTTTTTGGGCAAGATTTATATAATTCTTGATTAAATATGAGAACTCTAAAAGTACCTCAAATAGGGCCGCATAGTAATTAAAGTGTATCATACAATATTACAAGTCAAATTTATTAATTGTAATAACCGAAAAATACTTGCAAAGTACTCTTTCATTAAGATAACATAATGGACTACAGCTTGGCAGTCGCATTACGAAGTATATTCAGAATTGATTAACCATCCATTTTATCACTAGACCTGACCGTAAAGTGATTGCTTGTTTTCAAAATTGAAAATATTTTACAGAGAACAACAATACTACTCAAATGAAGAAGTGGTGCCTACCTTGGCTTGAGTTTATAAATTTTAGAGTAGAATATTTAGAGAGATTAAAGAAGCTTAAGCATCGTTAGAATAATCATATTTAAAGCCCATCTATTTACTAGATCTAACCGCACAACGACTATTGTTTCTTTTGAAAGTATAATATTGGACTCGGACAAAAGAAATACTAGTCGAACGAAGAGCTAATGTTCGCTTTGGCTAATTCATACATCTTAGAGTAGACTATTTTGTTAGATTAAAGAAGAGATTTAAATCGATTTAGAAAAATAAACAAAAAAATTTTCAAACTTTTTTATTTTATAAATATATTTTTACGTAAACATAAATTGAAAATAAGTTATTGCAATTTATGCAATTAGAATTTTTAGTACTTGAAGTTAGTGAATTACAACTTTATAATTTATTCTTGTTCGATTGGGTAATCAACTAGAATTTTTTTATCAGTTTGTAAGCGTTCACACTCGCTTTGCAAGGACTTTAGTTCATTTGAATTTTTATTCAATAAACGTCCGAAGGCAACGTTGATATCAATAATGCGTTGCCGTATTGCATTCATACTTGTCTCCATGAAGCGTTCCGGCTGAAGGACATTTTCCTTAAAGGCATGCACCAGCTGTGTAATGTCTTGCACTTCATGATGAGCAGATCTACGATAGTTAGAGACCTCTGTGTCGAGTTTCCTTTTCAATTGGTCAATCTCATGAATTAAATTCCGCGCTGCTTGCAGCGAATATTTTGAAGTTGACGTTTCCTTGCTCTCGAAGTCATCAGCATCCTTAAAGTTTTCTGTGTTTAATTTCACTTGACTGCATTCCAAGAATTTTTGCTGAGATTTTAGTTTAATTAGTTCACTCATGATTGCGGTCCGGGTCATTTTTTTAGGAGGTGGTCGTGCTGCTTTACGAGTAGTCAATTTTGTTGTTATTTCTGTTGCAGTTACTGTTGTTGTCAATGTTGTTGGTGTTGTTGATGTTGTTGATGTTGTTGGTTTTGTGGTTTCTGTAGTTTCTGTGCACTTTACAGTTTTAGTTGTAATTTTCTTTTTATTATTTGAATTTGTGGTTGCCATCATGCTGAACCGAATCTGACATGTGTCCTGTACACCTGACATTAAAGGTGTATTGTTTTGAATCAATCCATTTCGTGTTGTATGTCTTCGCTCTTCACGGCGGAAACTTTGCTTCTCAACTTTCTTCATTTGCTTTTGTGAGTGCGACATGTGTGCTGTTTATACGGTGTAATCAAACGTGATTCAGTTGCTAACCACCGCGCACAAACCCTACCAGTCGGAACAACAGAATGTGTAGAGGTTCATACGGAAGTGGGTGGATTATGATGGCTCGTTTCGATGTATTGTTTACTCCTTGCAGTTTGTTTCCGTTTTAATTTGTTTCAGTTAAACAAGCACTTAAATGTGTTTGTGAAATTCAATATTTTGTTATACGTATTCGTTGGGGTCTTTAACAGAGCTCGTGGATTGTTTATACTTACAAGTGTAGCTGTTTTATTGGTTCACCGATGAAATTGCATTCTTGCCAAGTAACTCAAAACTCAAAACTCAAAATTTTGCAATTCTCTGCTCAATTGTTTAGTCGAGCTGATTGAAAATTGATGTCAAAGGTTAATAAACTTTATTTAGGCGCGCTTGTCCAGTCCTGGCAATCTCTCTTCTCTAAATCAACAACAATTTCGTAGCTCAAGTTTCGACGAGATTTGATTTTTCTCTATTTAAGCCAACAGTGACATAACAAAAAGATTTTAAAGTCAACAGCAAATTAATTTAAATATTTATTTATCAATATTTTATTTTTTCAACAAACTCGTTCCTACTAGATTTTTAATAATTTTGTGATTATTTAAATTTCAGTTGACATTTTCCTTAGTCGTGCAGTAAAGTAAAAATCGATCAAATAAACATGTAGGCAAGACAATTTAAATTTTTTACCTGGGGGAAATAGGAAGTAAACAACTAATTAGCTATTACTAATGAATTGTTTTTATATTACATCACACACACTTGGGATGATGGAGTACGTTAATTAAGTTTAATTGCAATTATATATAGTATATGTTTTTAATACAAATTTGAGAAAAATTGATCTATTAATTATTGTTTCTAAGGATAAAGACTTGATGGTTCTTTTGGTATTAACCATCTATTACAATTTCTGTAAATTTACTCAGATTCTTTTCTTAGCGCATTATTTATCCAATTCTTCGATTTATCCAATTTAATAGCAGTTTTTATAAGGGTCTGGTATACCATCCCAAAGTACTAATTTTCAAAGATCGTGTTCTACTCATCATCTTCAGTTGAGTATCAATCAGTGTATCAAAAGGATATACACTTTACAAGATTTGCTACGGTTTGGAAACAGGGTGGGATAATAAAATTAGAAGAAAATGGTGCATAGGAAAGAAGTTTGTAACTTAATTCACGACATTTTGTCATGTTGATAACGTGAGTGAAAATTTACTTTAATAATGGAAAAGTACATGGTTTGATTTTTGTCTATTCATGCCAACCGTGCCATAACAAAAAGATTTTAAAGTCAACAGGAAATTAATTTAAATATAGAGTTGTCAATATTCTATTTTTTTAATAAACTGATTTCTAGTATATTTTAATTAAACACAGTGGTTCCGACTTTAAGTGCGATTAAGACGGGCGGATAAGAAGCAAATGGTGTTCTTTGTTTGCCTTTTGTAATTTTTGTTTAGTAGATCAATTCTTGCTTCCTTTGGTATCAGTTTGTCAGATGCCCATTATTTTGATTAGTCTAATTAATCCTTCCCTTATGATAATACATCGATAAAAACTAAGAATCATGGTTGTATAACCCTATCATTGAGATTATACGTTTAATTTGTCAATAAATTACTCCATTCTATGAATGAGAAGGAAAAAATGTACTTTTAGCAGGTTGAATGCCAGTTATATAAATAAAATGTTACTATATTTTCAATTATACATTATAAATTTTGACCTTTATCGTAAAAATCTATCTATCTATAATATCTATAATATTTATCGTAATATTTATTGCAGATATCGATCTCCAATTATAATATTATGCACTTACTAAAGTTTTATGGGTTGAATTAATTATGCTCCTTTATTTTTTCTCCTTTTTCCTTTTAATTTTTCGGATATAATACTTTTCGTATTATTCTAAGTTTCACATATTCTATTTTTTAAATATTTCGTATTATTGTTTTTATAACATTGTTTTGAATTCTTTATTTAAATAAATTCTATATTTTAACAAATACTCTATTTAAATAAATACTCTAATTAAATAAATTCTCTATTTGAATAAATTCTCTATTTGAATAAATTCTCTATTTAATTAATTAAATTAATTAATTTTCTATTTAAATAAATTCTCTATTTGAATACATTCTCTATTTAAATAAATTCTCTATTTAAATAAATTTTCTATTTGAATGCATGCAATTCTCTATTTGAATACATTCTCTATTTAATTATTTAAATTAATTAATTTTCTATTTAAATAAATTATCTATTTAAATAAATTCTCTATTTAAATAAATTCTCTATTTAAATAAATTCTCTATTTAAATAAATTCTCTATTTAAATAAATTTTCTATTTGAATATAATTCTCTATTTAAATAAATTCTCTATTTAATTAATTAAATTATTATTAATTCTCTATTTAAATAAATTCTCTATTTAAATAAATTATATATAAATATTGTATATAATTTAGATTTTTAAAATATATAAACTATTTAAAATAATAGTTAATAGTAGAAGTTAATTAAAGCTTATATAGCGGATGGCCCACTAGTCTTCAAAAAACACATCTTTTACTGGACGAGGCATTATCGTTATATACGTATAATGTATATTTCATTTTTCACAATTAATAATGCTTTAAAAATATATAAGATTTAATATATATTAGTTACTTAAGATTTTTCAAGTACTTAAAACTAATTAATATTAAATATAAAAAAATGTATCTTAAATCTATACAAGTTTTGTTGCAGTTAGTTACAGAAAAACACCCTGTATGCAATACACATTAACACTAGAAAGAAATAAATAAAAAACGTAAATAACTGTTCCAAAATAAATAAGACCAATGCTAAAATATTTCACGTGATAAACTACTAGGGGCTTAAGAGGCATAAATTGGGGAACATTTCTAACACAAACATCATTTTTCGCAACGCGTTTTTTAATTTTCACTATCGCTACGCAGACATATTAATACGAAGTTTCAACAAAAAACAAACAAAAATAAAAGAAAAAGAAATAAGAAAATAGAAAAACAAAAAAAAAACAAACAAAAAAAATAAAATAAAATAAAACAAATAAGTAAATATTCGTACAAGAAGGTAATTAAGAAGCGACAGACTTAACATGCCAAAATTAACATGCATAAGTTTACTACAGACTCTTCAGATATTCAGATATATCATTTATATTGCAATATATATGTATATATATATGCCAACTAAAATTTAAGATTTATTTTACAGACAATGCCGTGTGCGAGTTCGAGTAAATTGAAAGAAATAGTAAATAATGTCGGTATGACAGCGAATGTTGGTATTTACCACAATTTCGAATAGGGTAAATTAGATAAAAATTAGGGTAAATTAGGTGTTACCATTGCGAAAATTTTATAAGATGTTTAATAAATAAATTTAAAAACTTTTAACCAAAAATAATAAATAAGTGCCTTGAATAAATAAATAAATATTTTCCTAAGTGCAGTGCAAAAAATCCCTAGGAAATTTCAATTAACTTTACCACAATTTACTTGAACTCGCACACCGCCTATATATGATCTTTATTAAACGTTTATAGGATAAAAAATAATAAAAAAAAGATTAATTTTTAACAATTAAATTTGATGTTTATATACATATGTATGTACATATGTTATATATCTGAAATAAATAATTTAAATTATTTTAGGTAATGTATATTATTAATTTTAAATTTTTAAAATTGTAAGCCTTATATTACGTTCAAGTTGAAAATTGTATCAAAATAAACACCATTTATTATAATAAATTGTGCCAAACACAACGCAATTGTTGTTGTTGCCATTGAATCATAATACACGATTTATTACAATTAATTGTATTGAATATATTTAATTATACAATTTAATAGACCTAATAAGTTTATGTTAGACTTAACTATTTTGTATAGAACATAACATGTTTCATTTATTAAAATAAATTGAAATGATCAGTTGGAAGAGAAACATGACTATTTCGATATATAATGATATATGACATTATTATAATAAGTTAAATAATGGTTTGTTTGATCGTACTATTATAGTGCCCTAATGAATCTATCAGTTAATATTATTATTTTATATTCATATCTTAATGGTTTATTGATCAAACTGCTAATGGCACTATTTCAGAACTATTTCAATAACTTGATAATTACTAGCTGTACTACTTTTATTCTAAAGCAAAAAAAAATTTTTTATTTGCAAAACTGATGAAAATTTTCACGTTGCTTAAACTAATCAAAACCCATTAAAATAATCCCATTCGCTTTGAAGTCTTAAAAAATATTGGTATGTATGTTACTTTAAAAGAATCTGACTGTATATATATAATGAAAATTTTTTTATTTATTTCTTTTTTTTTCGTAAAACACTGAATTGGATATCATTTGATTATTTAACCGTTTAAACAATGCATAAAAAAATTTTCAACTTGAAATGAAATTATATTTGCTATTTTTTAGAACATGAAATTTAATTGTTTATTTTAAAAAACTTGCCGGTTTTTTTTCTTAAGCATATTTTGGGTACTCAAAATAAAAAAAAAAATTAATATGTATATAAGAGTAAATACACATACATTAAATTTTATTTAAAATTAATTTAATACTATTACTATAAGTAAACAAATAAGTATTATATTTATTTCACATAATTAAGAATTATAATCTTCATATGAAATAAATATCTTACTGTAGAGCAACTAAGTAAAGTCAATCTTTACGATTCATTGGTATGACACATTGGAATCTTATCCAAACAAATACTTGAATATTTTCTGACGATATTATGTGGTTCAGATATTTCTAGCGGTTTTATATTACTCATATCAGCTAACAAAAGTATATGTATATACATATATATTAATAATTTGACGTTGTTAGAGCCTATGGATTACACATAGAATTACGCAAATTAAAAACGTTTTCGATATAAATAAAAGTAAATGATATATTATAAATAATGGACTATAGAGTCCCTTTAAGTTCTATTATTATCAAGTTAATTTTGTTTTTAATTTACAACTCATGCCTATACCATGAAAGGCGTTGGTTGCTTAAAACAGCAAGACGGTGGACATAAAAGTCGTAATCCGCTAAGGAGTGTGTCAGTAAGAGGGTACCAATAGTATGCATAGGAAGTATTATAAAGTCGGTTTTGTTTTTTTAAAGAATTTTAACTGTTATTTCAACCTTTGTAATTTTTATTAAAATTTTTAAAAAAAACAAAAACGACTTTATGAGATTTTAATGTTTACGAATATTGATTAATCATTAAATATCCAAAATATACCCCAGACATTGAGTTTTAAGCCTACTCTTGTTAGAGACTGTCTTACTCAGAATATTAGCAATATTAACAATAATAATATAAACAATATTAATAATATTAATTATTATATTTATCAATGTTTTATAAAAATTCAGTCTTTTTTTAAGTGCGACTTAACATTAACTTAAAAAGCTGTGCAACTACAGATTAAATACATGTGTCAAATAGTCTAG